CTTGAGACCATCTCTACAGCCACAGGGCGGAAACTGCTGGTGTCTGGGTGGTGGGGTATGGTCCGCCATCCCAACTACCTTGGAGACCTCATCATGGCTCTGGCTTGGTCCCTGCCCTGCGGTGAGTGGCCCATGTGGATAGGGGCAGGAACATATGAGGGGAAGGGGTGGCTCAGCGACCACAGGATGCCTACTTTGGGTATGCACCAGTGAAAGCAGTCAGAGAGCTGGAATGGACCCAGTGTGTGGCTGGGGCACACCTCTGTGCCAACCTAGTACGGTATGCCTAGATGCAGACCCTGGAGCTTTTGCTGCTGAGCCCTGATGCCCACATGAGCCATTAGGTGTGGAAATGTTTGCAAACTGGGGGGTGGAGGGGGCTGGAAGGGTGGTCACAGAGCCTCCTTCTCTACAGGGGTGTCACACCTGCTGCCCTACTTCTACCTCCTCTACTTCACCGCGCTGCTGGTGCACCGTGAGGCCCGGGATGAGCGGCAGTGCCTGCAGAAGTATGGCCTGGCCTGGCAGGAGTACTGCCGGCGTGTGCCTTACCGCATCGTGCCCTACATCTACTGAAGCGGCTCCACCACCCCAGGTGGGGGCATATGCCCACTCATCCACCAGCACACCCAGGACCAGGAGCCTGGACGCACTTGGGACTCAAGGGCTTGTACCCCACCCAGCCCTGAGGATGAACAGCCTCAGAGAAGAGGTGGTTTAGAGCAAGGAAAAAAATGAAACCAGTGACCAAAATCGGAGATGCTCTTCCTCCTTTGGGTAAACATTGGGAACCCTTGGTGCACTTCTCTCCCCTAGGACTGGCTGGGTCAGCACTGATCAGGGAGAAGCTGAGCAGTGGCTTGTGGGCCCAGGACTCTGGGGGCCTGGTAGGACAATAGCTATCCTTCAGAAACAGGCAACAGGGCTGACCAGTCACAGCTTTATTAATGACCAGGGTCCCCAGTTCAGCCAGGGAGCTCCTGAATGAGAGTCCTTGGGGCAGGTGGCACGGGGCCTCCCCAAAGCTGCTCCAGCTCCCCAGTGAGGGCGGCCACCTCCTCGGCTGCCACAGCATGGGCTTGGTGAGCCCTGGCGCAATCTAGAGCCAGAGGTGTGAGGGCAGCCTCATTTTCATTGGTCCAGGCCAGGAGGAACTGGCACTTTTTCCGGGCCCGGTAAAGATGATCTCGCTCTTCTCTAAGCACAGCCTGTTTCCGGGCACGGCCCAGGGTCTTTGCCAGGTCTCCCAGTGCTGCCAGCGTGTAGCCTTTCTGGTTGGTCGGGCCCTCACCCAGCAGGATGCGAGCGACCTCGTGCATAGCCCCTCGTGTGCCCAGGGGCCCAGGCGGGTGTTCGCCTGCTTCCAGCACGTGGACTGCGGCCTGCAGGGCTTCTTCCGCAGAGGCGAAGACTTGCTGGGCACCCAGGGCTCCGGAAACGCCGAGCAGTGTAGCACAGAAGTCAGAGAGCAGTGCGTCGTCACCGCCGTGATACAGGGCGAGAGTATGCGCGTAGGCGAACAGCACATTGGGCAGCTGGAAGCGCACGAGCGGCGAGACTGGGCCGCGGCTCAGGCTGACCAGCGTGGGGATGCGGGTGGGTATGGCGGGCGTGCAGGCCCCCGGGACATCTCCAAGAACCAGCTCGGCAGCCGCGAGCTCCGCGGCGAAGGCATCTTTCATAGATTCCGGCGGGGTCCTCGCAAGGGCGGGCTCCAGCCCCGCGGCATCACTGCCCGGGACATCATCCAGCTCCTCCAGAAGCCGCCGCGGTCCGGCTCCGCGCTTCCACCACCACGGCCGCCATGGAGGCAGCAGCCGCCCGGCCTCACCACGGCTCAGCAGCCGCTCGAAGGCAGTTTTTTCGGCCGGCGCCAGCCGCTCCCACAGTCCCGAGAGGCCGCCGGGCGCTGGGCCGGGGCTAAGGCCTGTTTCCCCAGGCTCGTCCTCGGTATCGCGTTGCTGACGCAGCCGGCGTAGGGCGCTTGCCAGGCGGCTGGGCGAGGCGCTGCGGCCGCGGAGCTCTCCCAGCACCTGGTCACGGTAGAAGTTTTCTGCGCAGGTGCCATGCGTCCGGTAGCAGCGCAGCGAGCAATAGGGCGCATTACAGCGAGGGCAGGTGTAACGCGCGGACTGGGCCTCCCCCGCCGGGCAGAAACCACAAGGCCCGACCGGCTCCATAGCAACTGGCACCGCGATCTACCTGCGAACGCACGCCGGCGATAGTTCCAAACTTCCGGGGCTTATTCAATTACTTCCGGCTCACCGCGGGGTCGACGACGGTCTGTCGTTTCGCAAAGCTCCCGAGGATTCTGAGCAATTTCCGCCCACGCCCGAAAGCCGAGCCCCACCCCTTTCCCTAGTAGGGTGAGAGCAGGCCCAGACGCCGGACGTCAAGTACGAACCCCGCCCTGTCCGATGACGCAAGGAGCGGAAAAATGGGTCTGGCGAGCGCTCCGCCGGTGCCACCTCTCCCCCTAGCGGTCACACCAAAACGTGGCCCGATCATCTAAAGAGAAAACCCTCTCTCTTTAGCACTATAATGCGCTGTGGCAGAAATCTACCTTTACTAAGCACCTACCCTGGGCCACTAATTGTGCCAAGCCTCAGAAAGGCGATGCATCCCTGCGCTGTACACAGACAAATAAAATGCACTAGGGGACACAGACGAATAAAAGGGCAGTCGGGATCGGGTGCGGTGGCTCTCACGCCGATAATCCCAGCACTTTGGGAGGCCAAGGCGGGCAGATGACCTGAGGTCAGGAGTTTGACCACGGCCTGACCAACATGGAGAAACCCCATCTCTACTAATACAAAATTAGCCGGGCGTGGGGGACGGGTGCCTGTAGTCCCAGCTACTCTGGAGGCTGAGGCAGGAGAATCATTTGAACCCAGGAGGTGGAGGTTGCAGTGAGCTGAGATCGCGCCACCGCCCTCCAGCCTGGGAGCCTGGGCCACAGGGAGGAACTCCACCTCAGAAAAACAAATAAAAAGCAGTATTTAAGAAATATTTGAGCTCCTATTTTTCCTCCAAAACTGACTCTTCATTAAGTATCTTCTTATTAAATACCACTATTCATCCATCTCATTAAGTGCAGGCCCCATTCTAGGTGCCAAGAACACAATGCACATCAAAGGGAGTCGGGGGTCCCTGTTCTAAGAGAGCTCAGTCTTGTGGTGGAGTGGAGGTGTGATGAACCAAACTGTGAGTGTTCTTTGCATCCCTACTACTACTACTGGTGGTCTAAGCTTCCTGACCCCTCACGTGGATGACAACACATTGTGTTTTTCCTTTCTTGCCAGCCCTGCAGAAAAACCTGCCAGATAAATTAGATCACAAGTCAGATCAGATCCTTCTCTTACTCAAAACCCTTCTGCGACCCTCCAAACAAGGTCTTGCAGGATCTGCTCCCACCCCTAGACATCACCTCTTCCCCATCTTCATACAGTCCTCTTGGCTTAAAATATTCCCCTACCTAATCACTTGATTTATTCATCTCAGGTCTCACACATGTCATTTAAACATGACCTCTCAGTTGGGCACAGTGGCTGACGCCTGTACTCTCAGCACTTTGGGAGGCCAAGGTGGGCGGATCACTTGAGCCCAGTTCAAGACCAGCCTGGGCAACACAGCAACAAAACCCCGTCTCTGCAAGAAGTACAAAAACTTAGCCAGGAGTGGTGGTGCATGCCTGCAGTCCTCAGCTACTTGGGAGGCTGAGTAGGATCACCTGGGCCCAGGACTTGGAGGCTGCAGTGAGCCATGACTATGCGACTGCACTCCAGCCTGGATGAGAGACCTTGACTCAAAAAGAAAAAAGGCTGGGTGCTGTGGCTCACACCTGTAACCCCAGCACTTTGGGAGGCCAAGGCGGGTGATCACAATGTCAAGAGATAGAGACCATCCCGGCCAACATAGGGAAAACCCATCTCTACTAAAAATACAAAAAATTAGCTAGGCGTGGTGGCACATGCCTGTAGTCCCAGCTACTCTGCGGGCTGAGGCAGAAGAATGGTGCGAACCCAGGAGGTTGGAGACTCCGTCTCAATAAAAGATAAAGAAAAAAGAAAAACAAAAAAGAGGCCCTCTCTGGGATGCTATTGTATCTGTCCACATCCTCCCCCTTTCTAAACTGCTAGAAAGCAGAAAGCATGTCTTTAACACCATGAGACGAAAATAGCCAAGATTCACACACTACATCCTTTAACCCTCACAGCAGCTCTGGAGATGGCAGAGATTAAATTAGTAGTTAGTTCAAAGGCCAGCCACCCAGTAAATGGATTAGGAAAAAAAAGAAGGTCCAAACTCAGGCATTCAAAGTCCACAGCCCAAGGGTTTTACCCTGTTGGATGCTATTTCCCAAGAACTGGCAGGTCCCGAAACTTTAGTTGAATGAGTAAGTGGGGTTCAGAAGTGCTGGGAGGCTCAGTTGCTAGAAGGCAACCCTGAATCAGCCCCAGAGATAATCCAACTTTTGGGAACACCGAAACATCACTATATCCAATCACAGATGTGATTAGGTTACCAAGTCTAGCCAGGCAATCATAGAGGTACAAACGAGACCATGCACCCAACGTAATATTTATTTCTAAAACCGAGGCAGACCAGATTCCCGCCCTGGACTCTAAGGCCACAGCTGGTACCAAGTTCAGGGAATGACCAGGTTCACCTTCTATACAAACCTCTTCCCCCACCCATCCCCCCTTCCATTGCTGCCTCCATAACAAACGTCTCACCACAATGATTCCTGCTACCTTCTCTGTTTAGAAGATGAAAAAGAATGACTTGAGGGGACTGATCAAGTTACTTAGGATAGGGAATAACTCCAATTCTACACCTGAAGCCCCAGGATCTGTGGCTACTGTTTCTTCACAGAAAATTCCTCTTGCAGTTTACCATTTCTTCCCCTACACCAAGGGCTTTTCTGCCTCACTGTTCTTACAGGGGACACAGCACCAACCTCTCCCCGAGGCCTTGCAAATAAAGATGAAGCAATGCGATGACTGAACTAAGTGGCTTTTTTATTATAGAAAGCCGGAATTACAAAGGACTTAAGAATTGGCATTGGGGCCCTTCTTCTTGCCAAAGGTGGGCACAACGTTGACAAAGCGCCGGTTGTACTGCATCCGGCGCTTAGCCCGACCGGTCTTCTTCTTCTTCTCCTGTTTGGCCACCTGAAGAAGGGAGGGGTTAATCAGGCCCTGGTTTCTGTCTTCCACATCTAGCATCCTTTCCCTCAGGCTCATCTCCAGGGAGGGAGAAGGCAAACCGGGTAAGAACCCAGGGACTTAATTTAGCTGTGACAGGAAAAGACAAAGTCCAAACAACATGACCACTAATACTCTCACTCACCTTAGGAGTCTGACCTCTCACTTCCAGCACGGGCCAGGGAAACCATGGACTTTACCTGTAATGGGAAAGGAAGGAACCAGCAGGTAAGAGCAAGAAGGTGCCACCCGGCAGAACCCCTCTTTCCTCAATTCAAGCCTTTAAAGAGAAGCTGGGCCCAACAGGTAATGGAACAAAGCTGCAGATATCTGACCTTGAAATCTTAAGTTTCATTTCAGGATTTTCCAGCTCTAACTTTCTAGAGCACTTTGGGGGCCCCGGTCTGACCTAATTTAGTGGGGAAGCTGATAACCAGACTCGGATCTCATGATGTGACTGAAACACAACTACACTCTGGCTCAGTCTCTGTTGTCAACATGAGGGATGTAAACAGGAAGAATCACTCTGAACTGAGGGCAGTGAGAGAGTACTCTACTTACCATAGGTGTGACACCTCAGCTGCCAAGACTATGCACCCCCCACCCACTAGACGCTTACCGGTAGTTCAAAGAACATTCTTCTCTCCACTCACCTTCCAAGCATGCGGCCTGCTACTTCCAGGGTAGTCAGGGCCTCCACCCCGCACTGGCCCAGAGTGGCCTCATCCTCCAAGGGGGTGCCTGCCAGGAGCACGACTTGATCTTCCGGGGCAATGCCCTCCAGTGAAGCTACATGAGCCTACAGGGAAAGATAAGGCTCGTAAGTGTTCCCTCGGGCCGCGAGGGTGAAGAGCACAAGAAAATGGAACCCAGGGCGCACCAAGCAGCCTTACCTTGATCTGGGCGACCGTTTCCTGGCCGGTCACCTCGAGGGTGTGTAGCTCCTGGGCGCGGACAAAGAGCTGCATGTTGACGACTGAGTAAAGAAAGACGGCTTGTAAGAGAAGCGAAGAAATGCTCTGGGATAAAGGAGGTTTGGGAATGGAAAGTGGTCCAGAAACGATAGCGATGGGATGGAGGTGGTCGCGGCGGCTCACGTGGGGAAGGCCAGGCCTCCCGAAGAATTCGGATAGGGACTGGAGCAGGGCCACAGAGCCGGCCTGGTTCTTCAGTTTCCCCCGCGCCCTCTGATCCCGCAGCCAACCTGCTACAAGCCCTTCGGATCCAGCCAAGGCCCTATTCTTACCTGAACCGCGGTCCCAGCTGCCGCTACCGCGAAGATGGAGTCGAGAAAGAGGAAGAAGCGAGGGCGCGTCTGTACAGACGCGAGCTGCGTATCACGTCACTACTGAGCCACCGCGCGGGTCTCTGATATTTGTACCGCCCAGGGCGACCCTAGCTCCGCCCCTTTACGCTCGCACAGGCGAGCCTGCCAGGGGCAGGCAGCGCGCGCAGGAGGGGGCGGAACCAGACGGTTGCGTGCACTGACGGCTGGCGTACGAGGTCAAGATGGCCGTTACCATGTTCCGGGCTGCGCTTCGGGGATGGAGAAGCGGTGTTCAGCGGGGCTGCGGGCTACGGCTGTTGGTGAGAGCGCTGAGCGAGGAGCTGAGGGCATCGCGTGGGTGTGAGGCTCAGTGTTAATCATTGTTAACCCCGAAAACTAAGGCATTCCTACTTGGGGCCTTAGTTTTGCCGTTTTCGATCGGAAGAGCTTGTCTCCCGATCGAGTGTAGATACAGAAACGAGAGGGAAAGTGGTAGACTGCGGTGCTCTTTGGGAGCACTTAACACAGTGCCTGGCAGTGTCTGTGTAAGCCAAAACGTTTCAGATAAGGGGCGGGATCCTAGCATGAGTGTGCATAGGGAATTATGATTGCCTTAATTCTTTTTTTCTTTTTTTTTTTTTGAGACAGAGTCTCGTTCTGTTGCGCAGGCTGGAGTGCAGTGGCGCGATCTCGGCTTACTGCCAGCTCCGCCTCCCGGGTTCACGCCTTCCTCCTGCCTCAACCTCCTGAGTAGCTGGGACTACAGGCGCCCGCCACCACGCCAGGCTAATTTTTTTGTATTTTTAGTAGAGATGGGTTTCACCGTGTTAAGCAGGATGGTCTCGATCTCCTGACCTCGCGATCCGCCCGCCTCGGCCTCCCAAAGTGCTGGGATTACAGGCGTGAGCCACCGCGCCCGGCTGATTGCCTTAATTGTTAAGGCAATCATAAGATTAAACACCACTATATCCAATCACAGATGTGATTAGGTGAGCAAGGCCAGCCAGGCAATCATGAAGGTACAAACAAGGTTACGCTGCCAATGTAATAATAATATCTATTCCTAAAACCGAGGCAGAAAGTTAAGCCTTAAGTTTCTAAAGACTTGATTGACTTTTCAGAAGTCTACACATACTCTTTTGAATCCCACCGAAATCCTAAGAGAGGTAGACCATTCAGAGTATCTGAGCCTCCTTTCCATCCCATCTGTACCCTGCACCGTGGAAAACCAAAGACTGGTGCTATCTTATGTCAACTTAAATAACGGACTCTAAAAGAAAATGATATTTATTCGGAAATGGGTGTATACTATGTGCTTATCAGGGAGGTAAAAGAAGACAAAGGTTTTTAACGGAAAAATGGGCCAGGCACGGTGGCTCACGCCTGTAATCCCAGCACTTTGGGAGGCCAAGGCGGGTAGATCACCTGGAGTCAGGAGTTTGAGACTAGCCTGGCCAACATGATGAAACCCGTCTCTACAAAAAATACAAAAATTAGCCGGGTGTGATGGCGTGTGCCTGTAGTCCCAGCTACTTGGGAGGCTGAGGCAGGAGACTTAACTTGAACTTGGGAGGCGGAGGTTGCAGTGAGCCGCCACTGCACTCCAGCCTAGGTGACAGAGTGAGACTCCGTCCCAAAAAAAAAAAAAAATAAATAAATCAAAGGAAAGGAAAAAAGAGTATTACATAATTGTATTGAGATAGTTATCCTTGGCTACAAGGATGAATAACAAGGGTGGTGCCAGTTCAAGATTGGACAGGCAGTTGTTGGACAGATGGCCTTGCAGAAATTTTTGTTTGTTTATTTTTGTTTTTTGAGAGTCTTGTCGCTCTGTCACCCAGGCTGCAGTGCAGTAGCATGATACCAGTTCACTGCAACCGCTGCCCCCTGTGTTCAAGCAGTTCTCCTGCCTCAGCCTCCCAAGTAGCTGGGATTACAGGCATGCACTACCATACCTGGCTAATTTTTGTATTTTTAGTAGAGATGGGGTTTCGCCATGTTGGCCAGGCTGGTGTTGAACTCCTGACTTCAGGTGATCCACCTGCCTCGGCCTCCCAAAGTGCTGGGATTACAGACGTGAGCCACCGTGCCCAGCCAGAAATACTTTTTTGTGTAAGGTTGCAATGGCCTTTGTGCAAGTCTGTGGTTTTTGCGGTCTTTTGTGATAGTTCTTGTTATTAAGTATTTGTGCACAAGAACTTTTTTTTTTTTTTTTTTTTTTTTTTTCCTTTTTGTGGAGAACGGGGTCTCGCTATATTACCCAGGCAGGTCTTGAACTCCTGGGCTGAAGCTATCCTCCCACCTCTGCCTCCCTGAGAGCTGGGATTACAGGCGTGAGCCACCGCGCCCGGCCAAGAACTCTCTCTTCATGGCCCTCCCTAGCTTTGTTTGTTGGGATTTTTAACCCAAGTGACTCACTCCATTTTGATTCTGATAGCTTTCACACCGATCGCCCAGCCTTTTATTTATGCCATTCTCTCTGCCTGTAATGTTTCCATTCTCTACTTACTGAACTTATGCCATCCTGTGTTGTGTAGGCTAATGGAGAAATGGAATTTTTGTTTTGCTTCAGAGCCAGACCCAGGGCCCTTCAGATTACCCCAGCTTTGTGGAGTCTGTGGATGAATATCAGTTTGTGGAGCGCCTGTTACCAGCTACGAGGATCCCAGATCCCCCAAAACATGAACATTATCCTACCCCTAGTGGCTGGCAGCCTCCCAGAGGTGAGCTGGGTGGTTAGGGATGATTTGAAAACTTCACGGAGCATCACCTCTTCCCCAGAGGTTGGCCTCCCCCATGAGGCTCTGGACTCTTCAGTGGGTTCAGGACTTGTTTTGCGATCCCTTTGGGTTACATCTGTCTCATGCCTGAGGAAGAGCCCAGGAATGGAGTCCTCTGTTGTTCACTGGTACTCATCCATCCACACTATTGGGATTGGGTCTTCCCCATATGGGGGAAAGTAAACAACAGAGAGAAAACCCAAGACCTTGGACCTTCTTTCCCCCCAGGAGACTATGTCTATAATTAAGAACACAGCGTGGAGTCAGGCAGTTCTGGGTTTGAATTTGGCTTTATTTACTGTTGATATTATCTTGAATTAGTCACTTAGCTTGACCCAACCTGTTTTAGCAAAATGGAGACGATCTGCTCAGTACCTACAGCCCTTAGTGCAGAGCCCAGCATATGGTAGGTGCTCAGTGCTTGTAAATCCCAATCTCTTTGTTCCAGAGATTGCTTTCAGCCTCCCTGACCCAGTGGAGGAGGGCAAGGATTGGCCTAGAGGGGGACCCAAAGATCCAGGGAGGCATGTCCCTGACTTCATGTTTTCTTGAGTACCTACTTAGTGACAGGCCTTGTGTGGGGCCTTAGGGTACCAGGGTGAACAATTTGGTCCTGACTCCAAGCTGAAGGAAAGAGGAGACCCCCTGACCTAAAGTCTGGAGGTGGCTTGGTCCAGCTGGGTGCATTTGCCCTCTGCAGACTGAGAGCAAGGACCTTGGCTGAGGTGGGATGGCACCTAGGAAGAGTTGATTTAACAGTGTCTTTCCTTGTCACAGACCCCCCACCCAACCTGCCCTACTTTGTACGACGCTCTCGGATGCACAATGTCCCTGTCTACAAGGACAGCACGCATGGCAACCGGCAGATGACTGTGATCCGGAAAGTAGAAGGGGACATCTGGGTAAGTAGGTGGGTGGGTCTGGGGCTGGGCCTGACCCTTTCAGGGCTGAAGGGACAGGAGTCCTTTCAAGGGAAGGGACTCTTGGCCTGACCTGATTTGTCATCTTTCCCTAGGCCCTGCAGAAAGATGTGGAAGATTTTCTGAGCCCACTGCTGGGGAAGACACCCGTCACCCAGGTCAATGAGGTGACAGGTACCCTGCGAATCAAGGGCTACTTTGACCAGGAGCTTAAAGCCTGGCTCTTGGAGAAAGGCTTCTGAGGCCTAGCTGAGCAGCCTGCATGTCAGCCTGCCCTGCGGATCAAGTCTAGGGGGCCTCAGGAGGAGGGAGGTGGGTGTTGGAGCCCCTGAGACAGGGGATACAGAAACTAAGGCTAAAGGACTTTGGGGTCAGGCCTTGCTTGCATAAAGGAGAAAACTGAACCCTATGTACATGCTGGGGGAGAGTGCCTAATGTGGGAGACCAAATAGGAATAACCAGGCTAATGGGCGGTGTCAGCAGCTTTCTCTCCCTCCTGTCTTGGCCTGTTGTTTTTTGTTTTTTGAGATGGAGTCTCACTCTGTTGCCCAGGATGGAGTGCAGTGGCATGATCTTGGTTCACTGGGTTCCAACTTCCACCTCTGGGTTCAAGCAGTTCTGCCTCAGCCTCCTGAGTAGCTGGGATTACAGGCACCCGCCACCACAACCTGCTAATTTTTGTACTTTTAGTAAAGATGAGGTTTCACCATGTTGGCCAGGCTGGTCTCAAACTCCTGACTCCAAGTTTTTCGCCCACCTCGGCCTCCCAAAGTGCTGGAATTATAGGTGTGAGCCATGTGCCCTGCCCACCTTGGCCTGTTTTGTTTTCCTTTCCTTGGGCTCAGCAATTCAAATTCTAGTTGTCATTTGGTGGAAGCAGTAGCCCAACCTAGTTTAGGGGAAGGTAGCACAGGGCAGAGCCACTGGGCACTTTGTTCCCTTGGCCCTCCAAAGCTCATTGTTGCAAACATCCCCAAGCCCTTGCTCTAGGCCAGATCTTGTTTGGTACAGGCTATGAACACAGATGACTCGGGCATGGGGCTTGGAGATCTTCTGTTCGAAGTACAGTGCCCACGTTAGCCCTGGGCTCTTTCTCCTAGAGAGGTAGGAGGCCCATTCTTGGTCACTGTTGCATTGCAGACCAGACTTGCTGGCCTGACCACAAGGGAGTGGCTGGAAGTCCTCACAGCCAGCATAGGGCCATCCTCCCCAGCCTGCTGACCTGGAATCAAGGCTGGGGAGGGGTTTGCAGGCAGGAATACGCTGACCTTTCACCCTGCCATCCCATCCCAACCCCAGCTCACTAGCCTTCATTGGAGTCACAGGGGTCAAAGGCCTGAGACCCCACCCTACCCCCAAACTGGCTAAGACAGCTCCCAGTTCCTGGATCCCCAACTTGGTCTCTGCCCTGAGGCAGGGCACTGAACTCTGGGCTGCTTTTCCATGTGTAAAATGGGCACATCTTCCTAATCTGTTAATGGTCAGTGGTGTCCCCAAGGATAGTGCTGGCTTCCATGGAAACCCTAACTCCTGGAGATTCCATTCCATTCTCAAGTGTACAGCCACAGCAAGGAGCCCGACACTGATTATATTGATTCCATGAGACAAACCCCACCAACTGTTAATGCAAGTTTTTATTTGGCTGTATATACAATTTAAGCTATTAAAATTTGTACAATATTTACAAATTAAATAATCATCTGAAACTGTCTCCAACAACTCTTGTAACACAAAACCAAGGGGAAAAGACAGGGGCAGGCAGGTCCCAGCTCCTGTGGTCCCTCCTTGGTACAGAGCCTTTTCTAAACTGGAAAGACCTTCGTCTTTCCCAGGATTAAGCATTCAACTTCAAAAGACAAAATTTAAGCCAAAAGACACTAGTAAGGAAGTAATTCCAATTCTAAACTCCAGAAGTTCTGCCAGTTGAGAAGTGGCCTTCCTTGGGCGCTGGGATTGCAATGGTCAGGAGCAGGCACACTGGCCCTTGCCTGGAGTGCGGCTGGGCAGTGGCTGCTGGGTGAGACAGGTCAGTCTCACCTGAGAAGCTGCAGGGGAAAGGGGCCTGGGGGGAGGGGCGGGGCAGGGTCCCTCAGTGCTGCCCGCCTGCCCCCCCCACTCCCAGGCATTCCTTTCCCTGAGTTGTGTGGTTGCCAGTAAGACGCAGAAATGCCACAGGGCATAGGGGGCACAGCCACCACCACAAGAGGCTTCTGGGGAGATCAGGGTAAGAAAAGGAAATGGGTACCAGTCTTAGGGGTGGGCCAGGGAGCAAGTTCATAGCTTGCCTCCAGCCCCTCTGGAGTCCACACTTGGGAACGGGAGCTAATACTGTTCGGCACCGCAGTGACTCCACACACACAAGTAGGGCTCAGAGGGGCTGCCCCTTCTCCCAGAAAGGGGTAGGGGAAGAAGAGGGCTTCTCAGAGGCTTAACCTTCTGCCTTCATGGCCCCAGCAGAACACAGGGCTGAAGAGTTGGAGAGGAAGGCTGGAACTGACCCGAGATCCCCATAGCTGCCTGGGACTCTGAGGGCTGGAGTCAAATGGGAACCCCAGCCTCTTTCCACTTGGCCTGGGGGATGCCGCCTCTTTCTCAGAGCTGGGGGTACTACTCCCTGCTGCAGACAGAGAGGGAGCTGGCACTTGGTGGCAGGATGTGTTCCAGCGAGGGCTGCTCAAAAGAGCAGGGGCTGGGGCTGGGCTGGGGCAATGTCAGTGGGCAACAGGAGACTCCAGCTTTTGCAGGCGGCGCCGGCGGAGCTCTGCTGCATCAGGCTCTCCATCCTCGGGCATCTCCTCTGTGCCCACTGACTCAGGAGCTGGGGACAGAGAGACTGGAAGTGGAACCTAGAGAAGTTCCCTGCTCCCCCGGCTGGAGGCCAATCACACCTACCTGGAGGCCTTTCCGTTTCAGGGGCTGTTGGGGAGGCTCCTGTGGTTGGGGTCGTGGCCTCTGAGCTGGGGATGCTGGTGGAGGAGGCAGCAGCAATAACTGTAGTGGCAGTCTCCTCAGGGGAGCTGACTGAAGTGGCAGGCCGAGGGGGCCTGGGAAGAGAAGGGACGAGAGGCGGGTCTGGCCTTGGCATCCTAGGTTGGGCAGATTCTCCTGCCCTTGGTGAGCCTTGCAGAACAGAGTATAGAATGATGTGCCCTTGTGGCCCCAGTGCCTGGCAAACACAAGTGAACATGCTGAATGAACTCAGACAGGGTGACTTGACTCAAGGGCCAAGTGATTCTATCCCTTAGCTGTAAGGTGCTTGCAGGCAGGGACTGTTGACCTGTTCACTCTTACCCTGCAGTCTCCACCCTGGGGAGTCAGGCACCTTATAGGGGACCCACTGAATAAGCCACAGTGCTCAAGTCTTGGACTCAAGTTCCTCTCCAAGCCTGTGCTGTCACTGCTAGATGCCAGGCATTATGTACATGTCACTTTTTTAAAAGACAGGGTCTCGGCTCCATCACCAAAGCTGGAATTTAGTGGCACAATCATAGCTCACCGCACCCTTAAACTCCTAGGCTCAAACAGTCCTGCCTCAGCCTCCCAAAGTGCTGAGATTACAGGTGTGAGCCACCGCATCGGCAGTAGACATCACTTACGAATATGAATTAAGACCCCTTTATTCAAATAACGTTAAGAGGTCAAAAACAAGTGAGTGATGGGACCAGCGCTTGCACTTGGGCCAGGATGGCTCCAAGTGACTTCCTATTATTTGTTCCCTCAGTTTGGGGGCAGCAATTGTCAATCTAAGTGTCACTACATCTCAGGAGAATATCATGTGATGAACTAAAGCACTGCAAATTCTGAATAATTTGACTTTAGAGAAATAAAAAGGAGTAAGATCCAAAGTCAGCTCTCGAATAAACATCACTCCTAGTTAGATCCAGATGTGCTTTCTGGAGTGGGAGGACAGACAGGCACTAGGAGTTACCAAGAACTCCTGGAGAATCTGGATGGACCTGTAGATAGGTAGCCTGAATTGGCAGGTGTCAAAGGCCAAGAACCACTGCTGGGGACCTCCTGGCAGCTCCACTCCTGATCCACCAAACCCACTCTGCTTCCCCTGTACAGACACACCCCAAGGAGGCCAGCACAGTGAGGTACTGGTTGATCTGTAGCATGGCGGCGTCCAGCAGTGTGTGGATGTTACGCAGGCTCTGCAGCCGGGCCTCCAGGTGCTGCCGTTCATGGCCCTCCAGAGCTCGTAGCTCCTCTGGGGTCAGCCCAGCAAACCCCGCAGGGGGCACAGGCATCGGGGGGAAGGCTGGAGAGAGAGAGAAAGGCTCAGTCTGGGCTGCTGGGGCCAGACACCAACCTCACCCCCCAGAAGAACCCAGAGTGGCCCGGCTTACCAAAGGGCGGAGGCAGGGGCATACCCATCCAGGGAGGAGGGAAGGGGAAGCCAGGGGCAGGGCCAGCTTCTGGGGCAGAGCCAGAGCCTGGGCCAGATGCTGTGGCAGAAGCAGCAGCAGCACTGGTGCCAGCAGCTGTGGTTGTAGCTGCTCCACTGGGCCGAGAAAGAGCTGCTGAAGAGCAGGAACAAGAAGTCAGTGAGTGTTCCATCCCTGCCACCCCCTGGCTGTCACACTACCCAAAGGCTCACCTGCACTGGTGGATGGAGGGGCCACAGCCTCTCCTGAGCTGGGGGGAGGCGGGACAGGTGGAAAGGGGCCCATGGGGGGCCACAGTGGGAACATGCCTGGAGGAAAAGGAGGCAGGAGGCCCTGGGGGACTGCAGAGAGAAGACAGGGAGGTAAGAAAAGGGCCAAATGGACACAGACCCAACTCCCAGTCAAGGGGCCTGACTATTGCAAGCTCTGTCCTATTCCCACAGGCCCTGAGCCCAGCACTGGTCACACTGACTGCAAGCATCTATTTCTCATCTTTCCATCCCTTCCTGGCCCAGACTGAGATTCTGGAGGGCAGGGACTCTCCAAATTTCCCAGCATCTTCCATACCCAGTCCAGGGCAAGTACCCAGTGGTGTGCTGGGTGGTCAGACAAGGGGATGCTGCGTGGTCAGACAAGGGGATACTCACAGTTGGGGGGCTGAGGCAAGAGTGGTGGGGGGTGGGGCGCAGGGGGTGGCCCCTGATCCGCAGGCTCTGGGGGTGGTGGTGACTGGGCTGGCAGCGATGCCCGAAGGACATCCATACGGCAGGTGGGGCAGGTCTGCTGCCGCTGGAACCAGGAGCGCAGGCAGCTGTGGGTCAAGGCCAGGCAGAGGTCAGCAGATCCCTAGGGGCCTGCCTTCTGGGGCCTGTGCCCCGCTGTGTAGACTCCCCAGGGCCCCTCCCACCTGGTATGGAAAATGTGGTTGCAAGGCAGTCTCTTGGCACCAGTCACCATCTCTTCTCGGCAGATGATGCAGACATTGTCCATTGCCTGGAGCTCCTCTGGGGTGGCATCTGGATACCTGGTTAGGATGACGGGCTGTATCAGATTCAGAGCTGGAAGCAGAGGGACCCAGGACACAGCTTGGGACAGCAGCCATGACAAGCCTACTTACAGGGTGTTCATGTTGCGGATGGCTCGGCGAGACATGATGGCATCTGTCACAGCTTTTTTGAACTGTCTGAAAGGACAGTCAGTGAAAGCAGGAGAAGGGACGGGATCAGGTTGGGAGGATCGGGGGATAGGGCTGGGCTCACCTCATGGCCAGGTACATGGGCCGGATGGCAAAGAGTGGGAAGGTGTGCACCTTGATCATGATGGTCATGAAGGCCATGTACAGCAGAACCTTGATGAAGCCTGCGGGGAGGGGATGCAGAAAGCAGCAGGTCACAGGGCCAGGAGGCAGAGTGGAGTATGCTGGTCCAGATCAGGAGAGGCCCAGGCCCCTCTCACCTGTAAACAGCTCTGTGTAGAGCATGTACACAGCCTTGTTGTCCCAGGGGTTCTCACTCTGGAGGTCCACGGAGTGCAGCACATACTTGATGAAGATGGTGAGCACCATCGTCATCAGGATGGCATACTGAAGGGAGAGGGGGACGAGGGGGATGTGAACACACAGCTCCCCCTTGCTGTACCCACACTGCTCCCCCGAGCCTCTGCACAGCAGGTGCAGTGGTACAATCACAGGCTCTAGACACACCCGGGGTCCTCCTAGCCCCTCCACTTACTAGCTGTGACTTTTGGCAACTCAATGAACCTCAATTAACTTATCTATAAAATGACAGAATTAACTGTTCCTTTATAACAGTATTGTCTTGCTAAATAAGAGATGCAGGTCAGGAGCTCAGCACAGGGCCTGGTGTGAAATTTGCATTCAACAAATATGAGCTGTTGTCACTGAACACATTCTCCCTCTGCCAGGGACACGCCTCCAAATGTCCATCGAGCTAATCCTCTCCTGTCCACTACCAGCTAGCTCTGGCACAAGCCTCTAGGAACCCTCTCCTGAGCCCCAGGTTGGGGTTCCTCCTCTGTCCTAGGCTCTTTGTACTTTTCCCCAATCACTTAGGAGTGAGGGTGTGGAGGGCAGGAGCCGTATCTGATCACTGCCCCGTGGTGGCCAGCACAGGTTGGCCACATAGCAGGTGCTGAGGAAGGGTCTGTTGGGTTATTCAAAGTGCATGTGGGGTCACCTCGGGCTTGTCCTCTCAACCTCCCAAGCCAGTTTTACCTCAAAGCCAAACACCAGCTGCACAGAAGCCCCACGGGTCAGGATGCTGTGATAGGCATGGCTGACGAAGAGGAAGTCCAGGATGCCCAGAAGGAACATGAGAGCTGTGGGGACCCCCATACATGCGGGGTAGGGGAGGTCAGCCCAGGGCCCAACAGCTATTTAATGCTCTATGACAGCCCCACCCTCCAGCCTACCATGGCCCCAGTGATCTAGTCAGGTGGGCACACTCCACTGAACCTGGCCCTCTGGGAGCTTCCTGGGGGAGGGGGAGTCGTTGGGGTGCCCAGGCTGCAGGTGAGAAGGCAAAGGGCTGAGGGCCCAGGCAGTTGAGAAGCCCTGGAGTGGAACAGGACAGAGACTATGCAAATTAACTTCCTAAATTATCTTTCCTGTACAGCTGTGGGGGGCGGCCTGTGCTCTGGAGTACAGGCCCACTGTTCACATTCCACTCTTCCCCTCCCTTCCCCTGAATCTCACTCACAGACAATGCGGCAGTGAAAGAGCCAGGAGATGTTGGGGCTGCGTTCCATCTGAGGCAGAGCACACAAGAGGCCTGTCAGGAAGCCTGGGGCTCACCCCACATCCTCAACCCAGCCCTCCCTGCTCTTTAAGCCTGCCCGCTGGCCACTCCCTGGCTTCCATCTGCTTCAGAACTCCCTTCCTTGACTCACAAAGTCCACACGATCCTCAGCCAGCCAGTGGAAACATTTGAGGAAGAGAAGAAGAGTGAAGAGTGCAACAAAGCGGGGGCTGAAGTCATCCCGAAAAACGGTGAAGGCCAGACAAGTCTCTGTGACAGCATACCAGGAACGTTCCAGAAGGTGCTGGGGACCAGGCAGGGAATAATGTGGATCCCAAACATTCTTTCCCAGCACCCTGCCCTCACCTTTGGGGCAACCGACATCTTACCTCCATCTCTGCTGCCCTCAGTTGCCCAAAGAACACCTTGCCCATCACCTTGCCCAGGAGGAAGACAAGGACAAAGGCCTGGATGTACAGGACCTAGGAGTGGGGAGAGGCTATGGTTTGAGGTCACTTTCCGCTTTCCTCTGCTTGGGACTCATCATTCGGGATCCTCCACATCCTAATCACAGTTTATTCAAAGTTAGACAGCTGGCGGCTACTTCCCTACTTACCTGACCTCTAGCCCCGCCCCTGGCCCAGGCAGACTCCTCCTTCCCTCCCAGGGAGTTCCTCCCTCCCTGAGCCCTGAACTCACTGCCATGCTGGGGCTGGACTTGGTCAGGTACACCACAGTGGGGTAGAACTGGTGTTTGAGGTAGTAGGCGTGAGCCACCACAGCCCCGGTCAGCGCCAGGCTGGCCGCCATCATCACTGCCGTGCGGAACATTGCCCTGGCCCGGAGACCTAAATGGGGCAAGAAAATAACTTATGTGATGCGCCTGCTGTGCAAAATAGCACGGTGCCTGGCACAGCCTCAATCAATAGGAGAAAGCGGGGAGAGGGGGGAATCACATTTCGCCCTCGAAATCATCAGACCAAGAATAGCTTACTCTCCCCCATTTTACAAATAAGCCTCGAAGGGGTTAAGTGATCACACTGACGCAAGGCCTGGAACCTGGGTCAGTCTTGTTTCAAATCTAGGGCTCTTTCCACGCTGACTGCCAAGCCGCCGCCTCTAGGGAGGCGATGAGGAAAAGCTGCAGTGTTGGAGGAGGGGGAGCTGCACCGCTGACCCTCCGGTGGAGGAGATGGGGTGGGAGGCAACAGCAGAAATCTGCTCCAGGGGCGGGAACGCGCGGCCAGGGCTGAGCAGCCAAGGCACAGAGGGTAGCAGACTGGGCAGGCGACAGCGCCGGTGACAGCTGTGTTAGGGTGGGCAGTTCGGACGCGCGCCCCGCGGGAGTGGGCGGGGAACGTCAGCCTGGAATCCTGGGGTCCCCCGACCCCCGGAGTAGTGTCAACTCAGGGCACCACAAGAACGGCCGACCGGCAGAGAGCAGCAGCGGGACGGGAGAAGCCGGGTCGCCCTCGCGGCCGCGCACCTGTGAGCACTAGGAGTTGCGGGCGTCGCAGACAGGGCCCAGGCTTGAGCAGAGCGGCCGCACCGGCGTCTGAGGTCTCCGGCCAGCTGACAGGCCGAAAGCGGGCGGCGGGGCTCAGGGCCGCGCCCACTCTGGAGCCCTGAAGGGGAAGGTTCGGGTCCCGACCCCAACCACAACTCGGGCCAGACTTCGCCCCACTCACCAGGAACGCAGCGCCGCGAGCCCGCTCAATCCGCGCGACTGCGGCGGCCGCTACGGTTAACAACACTCCCCACCCCCTGCGAACCGGAACTTCGGGGGTCAGACACCTCACTTCCGGCGGCGCGGGGCGCGGCGTGGGTCGTACCAAATGCGTCCTGCCCTGGCTCGCACTGCGCCCTACGTGGGTCCATAGCAATGGTGTCACCACCGTATCTGGGGCTCGTGTCTGCGGGGAAGGGCTGGGCAAGAGGTCCGAGAGGTGGTCAGAAGGTAATAGAGCAACAGTGGGACGTTGTGGGGGGGGGTCCCCCTATTATTTATTAGTCACAGATGGTATGGCCCCTGCGCTGAGTGGCCTCCGCCTAGTGGGGAACGCGGCCCCGCGAGGGGCTGGGAGGTGGAGCCGCTTGCGGGCTGTACCACCTGGAGGGGGAGTAGGCCAGAGACAGACTGTACAAGCCTAAGGGGAATGAAATGTTTAAAAGCCTCAATTTAGGGAGAGTCACAACAGTTTGACAAATACGGTGCTCTCTGAGAGAACTGGATGCGGAAAACAAAAATTTGTCTTCTCCATGATCACCCCCCAAGTTGTGTGGGAGTGAGTTGGGTCCCGTGGCTGCCACTGATTGGTTGCGATAAGTTACGCGGACCAATAAGAAAAAGAAAGTACCTTTACTGGCCTATAGAAAGGGGAAAGCAGGTGAGTGGTTGGTAGGGGCGGACAGCTGCGTTGCCTAGGCCCAGGTCCCGCTCCAGTTGGCTGAAGAGTAGGGAAAGCGCAGTCCTTGGGCGGGTGATCCCTGGCTGGCCTCCGGGGACGTTTGCCGCGCCAGATCAGGGAGGGGCAGCCAGGTGTACCCGAGACTGGGAGATTAATTCCTGCTAATCTTGGGACGGAAGTGTTCTGTTTGTGCAAAGGAATTGACTTCAGCATCGCAGACTTGCCCCCATCTCAGGTTCTGGTTTTGCTGTCCGTGTATTGTTCAGCTCTGAGCCATAAGCAAGACCCCCACTGGTCCTGCGCTGCCCTGTAGTTTAGTTCGTGTCTGGGTCGCAGCCAACTAAGCTCGCTGATTAACAAAATGGAGCCAATGCATCCGCTTTGTGCCTTGCGTTTTCCTCTGTCATCTCATTTAATCATCAATCACTAAGGTTTATGAGCTAGGGGGTGCTACCCCCTCCCGCGAAACGTGGGGCAATTGAAATTCAGAGGCTTATCAAAACCTGTCCTAGGATTGGCGCCAGGTCTGTCTGCCTCTAAATCTCTGTGCTCATCTTCCGTGTCACCTGTTGACCTGACAGTTTCAGCTTATAACCAGTCAGAGTTGGCTTCCCCGTAAGGCCACGTATAACTTTTTTCCCCCCCTTTTCGTTTCATTTATTTATATATTTATTTTTGCGACAGGGTCTTGCTCTGTCGCCCAGGCTGGAGTGCATGGGCGCTATCAGGGCTCATTGCAGCCTCGACCTCCCGGGCTCAAGCGATCCTCCCACCTCAGTCCCCCAAAGTGTTGGGATTACAGGCGTGAGCCACAACACCCTGCCTATCTATAACTTTCTAGTGACTGCATCCAATGGCTGGCTTTCAACCCTTGCTTGACTCAACCTCTCTCCCCTTCTTGAAAGTCTCCTCCCTAAGCTTCTGTGATCCACATGTCTCTGCTCCTCTTTTCTCTCTGGCTATGCATATGTCCTCTTCTCTTTACCTGATGTCCTTCTCTTTACTCTTCCTGCATGATTTCCTCTGCTCCATTCCACCCCCTGACCCAGGTGCTGATGATTTCCGTGTCTGGTCTCCAGCCGGGATCTGTCCTGCTGTCAGTGTCCCTAGACACTGTCCGCACCCCAGCTCCGGAAACGGGCATCATGCTCACTATCTGTCCCCCACATCCAAACTGGTAATTAAGTCATTTATTCAGTTAGTCTACAAATATGGATCAAGTGTCTCCTGTTCTAGGGACTTAGGATGTCACTTAACAAAATAAAGATCTCTGCCTTTATGGAGCTTATCCTAGTAGATGTGACAGCAAACCATAGACATAAGTGAAAAATCTAATGTGCTGGAAGATGATCAGTGCTATAGGAAAAAAGTAGAACAGAATAAAGGGGATCAGGATGTGGTGGGGTACTTGAAGCTGGTTGCAGTATCAGCGAGGATAATCGGGTAAGCTTCCTTGAGAAGGTGACATTTGAGCAGACTTAAAGGAAGTAAGGTTATGAGCCAAGTGGATGTCTGGGTAAAGAGTTACAGCTCAATAAAGGTGGAGGGGTGCTACTTTGTTGGAGGAGATGAGTGTGGCTATAATGGAACTAGTGAAGGGTGTGTAGGAGGAGAGAGGCCAGGGCAAGATTGCATTGGCCATCACAGGGACCTTGGCTTTTCCTGAGTGAAGTGAGAAGTCACTGGAGGGTGCTGAGCAGAGGTGTGACATGCTCTGACTTAGGTGTAATAAAGTCACTCCAGGCCAGGTGTGGTGGCTCACACCTGTAATCCCAGCACTTTGGGAGGCCAAGGCGGGCGGATCATGAGGTCAGGAGATGGAGACCATCCTGGCTAACACAGTAAAACCCTGTCTCTACTAAAAAATACAAAAATTGGCTGGGCCTGGTGGCAGGCGCCTGTAGTCCCAGCTCCTCGGGAGGCTGAGGCAGGAGAATGGCATGAACCCGGGAGGCGGAGCTTGCAGTGAAACGAGATCATGCCACTGCACTCCAGCCTAGACAACAGAGCGAGACTCAGTCTCAAAAAAATAATAATAATAAAATAAATAAAGTCACTCCAGCTCCTGTGTTGGAATAATCTGTAGTGGGGAGGAAGGCAAGTGTGGGAGCAGGGAAACCAGTTAGGAAGCTCTTGTGGTGCATTAGGCAAGAGAGGACATCCTGTTGGTTCTACCTCCTGAGTGTCTCTAGAATTCATTCTTGCCTTGCCATTTTCACTGCCACTGTCCTAGTCCAGACCATCATCATCTCATGCCTGGGAAAATGCAACAGTCCCCTTTCCTATGCGTTCCTCCTCATCCGTTATCCGTACAGCAGCCAGAGAGATCTCCTCACACTTGAGCTCACGCCTTGCCTTCCCTCCCACATTCTGCCCTTCAGGCATAATGCCCAGTTTGTGGGGCCTCAGGTGTACCATCCCTACCATGCCCCAGGCAGGCCTATCACCTTTTGCATATTTCTTTCCTTCTCCCAGGAACGTCTTTCTCCTCAAATATCACAAAAAGCATTGCCTACCTCCTCAGGCTGGGTGGAGTGCATGCCATCATGGCTGGCTAATTAAAAAAAATTTTTTTTGTAGCGACAGGATCTTGCTATCAGGCCCAGGCTGCTTTTGAACTCCTGAGCTCAAGTGATCCTCCCAACTTAGCCTCCCAAAGTATTTGTATTACAGGCGTGAGCCACTATGCCTCGACAAAAAAGCAGTTGTACTTCTAAGTACTAACAATAAGCAATCAGAAATTGAAAATTTCAAAATACTAATTACATAACTCCAAAAAATCAAATGTTTGGCCAGGCACGGTGGCTCATGCCTGTAATCCCAGCACTTTGGAAGGCTGAGGTGGGCAGATCACTTGAGGTCAGGAGTTCGAGACCAGCCTGGCCAACATGGTGAAACTCTGTCTCTACTAAAAATACAAAAACTAGCCGGGCGTGACCAGGCGCAGTGGCTCATGCTTGTAATCCCAGCACTTTGGGAGGCCAAGGTGGGCGGATCATGAGGTCAAGAGATCGAGACCATCCTGGCTAACGTGGTGAAACCCCATCTCTAATAAAAATACAAAAAATTAGCCGGACGTGGTGGTGGGCGCCTGTAGTCCCAGCTACTTGGGAGGCTGACGCAGGAGAATGGCGTGAACCCAGGAAGCAGAGCTGGCAGTGAGCCAAGACCGCGCCACTGCACTCCAGCCTGGGCAACAGAACGAGACTCCGTTTCAAAAAAAAAAAAAACTAGCCGGGTGTAGTGGCATGCGCCTGTAATCCCAGCTACTCAGGAGGCTGAGGCAGGAGAATCGCTTGAACAGAGGTTGCAGCGAGCCGAGATTGCGCCACTGCACTCCAGCCTGGGTGAAAGAATGAAACTCTGTCTCAAAAAAAAAAAAAACAACAAATGTTTAATAATAAAATATAATCAGGGATGTGCAAGACCTGTACACTGAAAAGTATAAAACATTGCTGAAAGTGAAGATCCAATAAATGGAGAGATATACTATATCCATGGATCAGAGCACTCCATATTCCTATGATGTCAATTTCTCCCAAATTGATTTATGGAGTGACTGCCATTCCAATCAAAGTCTCAGTAGGCATTTTAAAAAAATTGATGCTGATTCTAAAATACGTGAAAATTCAAAAGACCTATAATATCCAAGACAACCTTGCAAAGTATAAACAGAGTTGGAGAACTTATACTACCTGATTTTACGACTTACGATAGGCCGGGCATGGTGGCTTATGCCTGTAATCCCAGCACTTTGGGAGGCTGATGTGGGTGGATCACCTGAGGTCAGGAGTTTGAGACCAGCCTGGCCGACATGGTAAAACCCTGTCTCTACTAAAAATACAAAAATTAGCTGGGTGTATTGGTGCATGCCTCCCAGCTACTCAGGAGGGTGAGGCAGGAGAATCACTTGAACCCAGGGGCAGAGGTTGCAGTGAGTCAAGATCGTATCATTACACTCCAACCTGGGTGACAAAATGAGACTCTGTCTCAAAAAAAAAGACTACTATAAAGCTACAGTGATTAAGATAGTGTGGTTTTTGGTGTAAAGATAGACATGCAGATTAGTGAAACAGAATGCATTCCAGAAACAGAATAACATTTATATCTGTAGCAGGACGAGTTGCAGACAAAACCCCTCAGACACCGAGCTAGTGAAGGGAGTGGCTTTAATCAGCTGGGACATGGGCAGGCTAGCGTCTTAAAATCCGAGCTCATCAGGTGCTCAACTTCTGTCCTTTTTAAGGACTCACAACTCTACGGGGGTCCGCGTGAGAGGGTGGTGATCGATTGAGCAAGCCAGGGGGTACGTGACGGGCTGCGAGCATACTGGTGGTCAGAGTGAAACAGAACAAATGGGAGGTTTCACAATGTCCTTCCATACAATGTCTGGAATCTATAGATAACAACAGTTGCTAGGTCAGGGGTCGAATTTTAACTACCAGGCTTAGGTCATGCAGGCCCAGGCCTGGTTTCAGGTCTGGTTCCTAGGCGCCGGGCTACCTGCCTTTAGTTTCGCTTCTCTTTCCTTTTCTGAGTATAAAACAAT